CTTTTGTTGACTATGATGGCTACTCCATTTCTTCTAAGGGATTCCTGCCCACAGTAGTAGATATAATGGTCATCTGAGTTAAATTCACCCATTCCAGTCCATCTTAGTTCGATGATTCCTAGAATGTTGATGTTCACTCTTGTCTTCTCCTGTTTGACCACTTCCAATTTGCCTTGATTCATGGACCTAACATTCCAGGTTTCTATGCAATAATGCTGTTTACAGCATCCAACCCTGCTTCCATCACCAGTCCCATTCACAACTGGGTGTTGTTTTTGCTTTGGCTCCATCCCTTCATTCTTTCTGGAGTTATTTCTCCACTGATCTCCAGTAGCATATTGGGCACCTACTGACCTGGGGAGTTCATCTTTCAGTGTCCTATCTTTTTGCCTTTTCATACTGTTCATGGGGTTCTCAAGGCAAGAATACTGGTTTGTCATTCCCTTCTCCAGTGGACCACATTCTGTCAGACCTCTCCACCATGACCCAGCCATCTTGGGTGGCCCCACATGGCATGGTTTAGTTTCATTAAGACAAGTGGTCCATGTGATCAGATTGGCTAGTTGTCTGTGATTGTAGTTTCAGCCTGTCTGCCCCCTGATCTCCTCTCTCAGTGCCTACCGTCTTACTTGGGCTTCTCAGGAAGATTTTACCGACCAGCATTGGGCTTCGCCAGTACTGGGCTTCCCTAGTGGCTCAGATGGTGAAGTTATCTTCCTGCAGTGCAGGAGACCTGAGTTCTATCATGGATTGGGAAGATCCCCTGGAGGAGAGCATGGCAACCCACTCCAGTTAGGGGCTTCCCCGGTGGTCCAGTGGTTAAGAATGCACCTTTGGGCTTCACTGATGGGTCAGACAGTAAAGAGTCTGCCCGCAATGGAGGAGACCTGGGTTCCATCCCTGGATCGGGAAGCTCCCCTGGAGGAGGAAATGTCAACCCACTCCGGTATTCTTGCCTGGAAAATTCCATGGATTTTCCTGGAGCCTGGGTGGGTTACAGTCCATGGGGTCGCAAAGAGTCAGGCACAACTGTGTTGGGCTTAAGACTATCATGCCTTGGGCCCATATCTTCAGCTTGGCTTGCTCCCTTACATCCATGAGGACTCTTGAAATGCCACCAGTGATGCCTTCCCTTCCTAATCACTAAAACCATTTGCCCTTTCTTCCCCCATAACACATTATTAATATGCCATATAGTTTACGTACTGACTAGGCTCATCTCCCCCACTAAAAGTGGGATAAAGGGGATTTTCCTCTATTTTATTTGACTACAACTGGTAGCACCAGGCAGTCACCCAAATATTTTGGGAATGAATAAATGGGAGTAATACTCGTGTAAACTGCAGTCATCTCAAAGTAGATGAGAGTAAAGCCTGAGGCAACATTTTCACTTTAATGGGATTATCACATCCTTACAATGTCTTTGCCAGCTATTTCCAAGCAGGTCTGAAGGCAAAGACAGAGGCAAACAGCACAGCTGCATTTCCACTTGGGGGTCTACTTACTAATTTCTGATCTGGGGATCCTTTCCGAGACTTTATCTCCATAATGAGGATTCTAATAGTACCCAAGGTAGTGGATGTTTTGAGGAATAAATAAGACAGACCACCTAAAGCACTTAGCATGGGGACAGGCCATTACAGTGCTGGATAAACCATAGTTTTATTACCAGCAGGCCCTTAGTTTAATAAAGAGGAACGGTTCCTAAAGGGAGAGATCTAGATTCTGGTCACATTAGTCACTCATCTGTGAGCCTTGGGAGAATCATTTAATCCCTTTTAAATTTATTGCCAGCTACCATAAACCAGGTGGCTGAGTGAAAATAAACTTTTGTTCCAAAGAAAAAAATACTTCAGATATTAATACTGACCCATCAAAGAAACCACACAGGGAAACCTAAAATTGGATTCCTGTTTACTATTCTCAAGTTCACAGACATAAAAAGTAACAGATGTTTATAATAGGCATCATTACTGGGAAAACATGACATGTCTCATTTCAGCTTTGATTAGAAAGCTGGTATTTAGTAAATGTGAATTAATCATAAATATATAAAACACAGAATACCAAGACTGTTTTTAAAAAGAACTGTTTATTTACTGAACCTGGGGCAGATCAGATACACAACCAAATTTAAATTTACATCTTTTAACTCAATTTTGAAGTGTTTGCACACACACACGCACACAAATTGGCATGCAACAGTTGTCCTAAGGTAAAACTCAGTCACCTTAAACTGTTGCAAATATTTTTTAATTTTTTAAAATTTATGTATTTATTTTCAGCCACACCGTGTGGCATGTGGGATCTCTGTTCCCTAACTAGGGATTGAACCCACACCCCCTGCAGTGGAAGCACAGTGTCCTAACCACTGGACTGCCAGGGAATTTCTCAGGAAATGTTTAAATAAATCATAGTGTATCCACATTACAAAACGAATATTTTACAACATTAAAAATGATGCTCTCAAAAATTAATGCCATTGGGTAACTGTATTTTATAATGAAAACAAAAGGAAAGAAAACTAAAGACTCTACACCTATATTCGGCTTACAGTGTTTGAGTTTTGGGAGGGTCTCTATAATGGAGGCAGAATTCAAATATGAATTTATGCCAATCAAATGTCAAATTTTTACTATAGCTTTCCTAAAGAAGTATTTTCCCCCAATATCTATTAATCACAAAGAAACATAAGCTGTGAAGATACAGTTCAGAAAATAAAAACATAGAAACTAATGACATTATTATGACCAAGATGTTTGGTAAACAGTGAATTATGAATTTGGGATTATGGGGAAAAGGCTTTTAAACAACCCTCCGGACTTCGAAGAATCTCTTCAGGTAGTAGATCTGTCCCAATGTCATGGCAACTAGAACAAGAGCTTCAAAGAAGGACCAAAGGACCACTCTGCTGTTTGTGTTGTCATTGACTGTTGAGGACAAACAAACAAAATTTAACAAACAAAACAAAAGAAACAGCATAGACATCCAAAATTACCCCCCCAGTCTTAACTCCATGTGAAAGTTAATACTTCACCAGTAATCAGAATACCTTTATCTTTTGTACCCAAGCACTTACACATACTCAGAAGCAGAGTTTTACATTTAAATGAGACCTTAAAAGATTAATGGAGCAGTCAAGTCCATTCTGTTTATGCATGAGAACAGAGGAAAAATGACTTGCCTAAGGTCACTTTCTAGAGTTAAAACCCAATCCAACCTTCTCTCTCTCACACAGAGAAAGTCCCTAAGATTAGAATCCTTTTTGCTGAATCAGAAAATTCAACCTTATTCTTTCAAGATAAGTTACCCAAGAGGCACTACCTACTAAGTTAAATGTTTCAAAATGCCTTTTCTTTAAACATTTATTCAGTATTTATTGAGCACCCACTATTTATCTGGCATTGGTTCTAGATTGAAAGATTTCTCAGTTTCACAGACCAGTGCTGGCAGCTATTACCAAACTTAAACTAGTTACAGGATTTACCTCGTTTTTAAGCTAAGAAATTGATCAAAAGAATAGTATGGCTGCATTAATTTATAGCATTCAATTTATGTTACATTCATTCAAGTTCCTGATCAAATTCCTTAACTTTTAGAAACTACTGGGTAGTTTCTGATTTTTCTGCAAATGGCCAATTTTTTGTTTGTTTTTTCTAAAAACAATTATAATTAGCAATTCAGTAATAGAGATGGATAAGGAACTGGCATATTTTTAGATATATATGTATCATTTATAAAAAGAGAAACTAGAATTGCAATAACTGCTGGACTGATGATCACTCAAAAAGAAGTGAAAAGCAATTAAATGACTCCAGAAAGATAAGTTATACTTACTCAAGGATAGAAAATGACTTTTTTCCCCCAGAGTAAGAATAGACAAACGCTCAAAACCATTAACTAGAATTCTAAAAACCACCAATGCTGAAATTTTAATGTTCATTCCATGGCATGAAATTTATTTCTGCTGCAAACTTTATAATCCATTTCTAACATAATGACTAGCATCTTAACCACATAAAAACAAGTATTTATCTCTCCCTTCAATAACAGAAAAATGCATCTTTAAACTTAAATAGAACACACTAAAGCATATAACATAGGAGAGCAATCATCGAGGAAAATATGTGTACATGAGACACTGTTCTCATGTCATTCACGTACTTGTTGTTGTTTAGTTACCAAGTCATGTCTGATTCTTTGCAACCCCATGGACTCTAGCCCACCAGGCTCTTCTGTCCATGAGATTTCCCAAGCAGGAATACTGGAGCGGGTTGTCATTTCCTTCTCCAGGGGATCTTCCCGACTCAGAGACTGAACCCAAGTCTCCCACATTGGCAGGAGGACTCTACCACTGAGCCACCAGGGAAGCCCAGTTCACACATTAGCCTGATCTAAAAACAGTACTATTACGACCCTGTAGGTTTTTAAAAATCTCATCATAGCCAGCTCTGAGGAGCGAGTGTTATAGGAAGATGTACAAAAAACAAACAACATTGTGGGAACTATTGGATTTCTAAAATTAAACTGAATGTCTAAAATTCTGTTTGTGAAAATTCAGGAGTATCTCCACTCAAATTAAGGATGAGAGAAAAAGGTTGGATGCCTCCAGGGACCACAAGATGGGGGTCTCCTCTGGCTGCCGTGCTAGTGGAGCTACAAAGCAGTGAAAGTTCTGAGCCCTTCTCATCACAGAATGGGCCGGTCCCCTCCTGGGAGCAAAACAACCAACAGGTGATGGAGGGAAGATTAAGAGCACAGGCCAGGAGAAGCAATCAGGTGGAAGAGGCAAGAGTGGCTGCATATAAGCCTCAATCCATCTCATGCCCCAATGCCGCCAAAAAGGTCAGAACAGAGGCACCTGTCCAGTCTGTCAAATCTACTCATTATTCTCCCAAGGAGAGGTGACGTCTGGGCTCTAGGTCCTAAAGCTGCCTTTCCATCACTGGCAAGAATGGAGACAAGAGGGTGGGAAGAACAGAAACTACATCTTGGAGAAATTCGACCTGTTCTCATCTATTTGAGTCACTCCTCTCTCCACTCCCTACCCCACCTTCAGAACAAAGACTCCAAACATAAACCACTTTGCATTTATAGATGAGCTTGCGCCCAGTGAGGCCCATCCCCAAGGATGACCTGAAGGACGAAGACACTGAACAGGTGTGGACCTGGGTCTAAAATATGATCATCTTGTCTGTGGATCAATATGGTACCTCTTTAATTTTAAACACTAAAGTATCATAATTAGTGCTATACCACAGGTTAAAACAGGCTTTGCAACCTAGAGTGGGATTCCAATTATCAATGTTTCTAAAGACAAACACATCCGAGCCTCACCCCCAGCCCCGCCGACTGGCCCAGCGGACCCACCGCAGACCTGCCGAAGGCCCGCGGATCTGCTATCCTTTCGAGTGCGCCATGTCTGGTTCATCCAGTGTCGCGGCTATGANAGTATTTTCCCCCAATATCTATTAATCACAAAGAAACATAAGCTGTGAAGATACAGTTCAGAAAATAAAAACATAGAAACTAATGACATTATTATGACCAAGATGTTTGGTAAACAGTGAATTATGAATTTGGGATTATGGGGAAAAGGCTTTTAAACAACCCTCCGGACTTCGAAGAATCTCTTCAGGTAGTAGATCTGTCCCAATGTCATGGCAACTAGAACAAGAGCTTCAAAGAAGGACCAAAGGACCACTCTGCTGTTTGTGTTGTCATTGATTGCTCTGTGTATTCTCTCTCGAACTTCCATGTATTCCTGTTCATGCTTCACAGCTGTCATCGCCACTGCGAGCTCATTAATCATTTCTTCTAGCTTGTTCTGGTGAGCTACAAAAGGATTTGAAAATGGTTAGAACATATTTGGCAATCTCTTTCTGAAAAATTCTTAAAACCAAAAAAAAAAAAAACACCTCTTCCAAAGAAGGCAAACAAAAGAAGCTATTTTTCAGAAATGACTCATTTTGGACCACTGATGACAATTTAATTCCCCAAGAATTTTTAAAGAGTTCGTTCCCAGTAGAGAAACCTCTTTCAGAGTAGGAAAAATACTATACAACATTTACTAACTAAAGGAACACAGACCTAAGAAATGTCTTCTAAGGAATTGCTAAGTGAAGTTCACTAGACTCACTGCCAACCATAGTGGAGATTAAAAAAAAAAGATGGAGGAGGGGCACAAAATACAAATTAAAACTGTAATAATAACATCCTAGTAATAATCCTACAAATAACTATTTAAACTAAATAAAAATCTACTCTTGAAAATTATGTAACTCTAATGTTAATTTAAGAAAAGTATCAAAGCTGACTTTTAACCTTTATGAAGCTAAGCAGAGAAAAACAGGAAGATGTTCTAGGGAAAATCTATACCAATTCAACATTCTAGTACTATAGTCAAAGCAGTCATTTCACTACAGTGGGAAATAGCAGACACTGCAAGTGAAAATGCAAGTTCCCAACTGCCCAAGGTCTAGAACCAGGCAAGGTTAAACTAACAGTTCTGAAGAATTTAAGTGTATGATTATAGGTAATGCTGTATTATGGCAATGTACAAACAGGTAGGAAAAAAATATACCACAAGGGAAGACTGCCATCAGAGGGATCTCTTCACTATTGCCCAAAATCCGGCCTCATCTAGAATTTCAAATTGCCACAAATAATCCTAAATTTCTTATGAAAAGCCAAGAGCCTCTACCATTTTAAGGCAGTTGGGCTGGAATCACAAATAATCTCTCACCAGCTTCATGTCAGAAGCCCATGCACTAGGTGAAACCTTTAGAGCAGAGTTTCTCAGGAGAAGCACTGTGGACATTTTGGACCACATAATTCTTTGTGGTGGGAAAGTGTCCGGTGCAGTGTACAACCACCAACCTATTCAGGAGAATCAAAAATATTTCTAGATATTGCCAAGTGTACCCTGGGGAGCAAAAAACATCCTGAGAACCACTGCTTTAGAGGAAAGCTTGATTTTTATAGCTGTCATTCACCAATATGAACAAGCAAAAGCGAGACTGTTAAACATCATGTTAAAGGATTATTTAAGGAAAATATTCACACTCACCAGCCAATATTTAAATAGCCAATGTTTAGAAAGGACTATTTTCCAGAAAACAAAGTCAAAGCCCTTCAAAACTTAATTTTCCTTGAGAATTAGCCAAGTCCTGTCCTGAACTGCAAATGGCCTTGAAAAGCAAGCACAGAAATTTCTGAGTAGTATGATTCTCTAAATTCTATAGATTTCAAAACTTAAAAAGAGTTCACCTTACTTATGTAAATACTCTACGAAGTGCTCACTATCTAGGGCAAATTATATCACATTAATACTATGAAATAAACTACTAGTTTCCAGAAGTCCTGAAATATACCATGCCCACCCCCACCTCGGTCAAAAAAAATCCTTATGTGCAGGCTCCTGGTAAGCGATTTATCCAGAAGAATCAACTTAGGGCTCACCGCTGATAAGCTGAGCAATAAAAATTAATCCACCTGCAACATATGTCTGACAAAGTTTTTGTCACCTTATCTAGGGTAGACGTGGCTCCTAGAACTGCATTTCACGTCTAACCAAGTTTCACATAACCTAACCTCTATCTCGTGTAACAAAATGAAAACCACCAAAAAAACAATCACTCTAAAACTCTAAATTAGTTGTAAGGTTTTTTTAAACTAGGAGAAAAAACACTGACATGCTAACAGACTAGAGGTTAGAAAGGAAAGCAGAAATTAGACAGTAGGCAACAAAAATATGCAGAAAGACTGTCAGAAAACAATCCACATACCATCCCAGGTATCTCCACCACCTGAAGAAGAGTGTAAGATATAAACACACACATACAAAAACAAGAAGTTTAGCTAAAGTAGTCATTTATACAAATGAGCAACTAAAGATGCATATACCAGAGTAGGCAAATTAACAGAACAAACAACCTAGGATACGTGTAACCTACCTGCTGCCAGAAATGGCAACTGGAAAAAACTAAAATATTAACATGAAGATTTTGTTAGTTAGAAAATCTGGATAAATAAAAAGTGTATTTCACAAAAGGTTTTTGGTTGTAAAGACAGTCAGTGAACCTAAAATAAGCCATCAAAATAAATACTATATTCAGGTGGAGAAAATGTACAGGATTAGTATTAACTCTGAGAAAGGGATATACATCTTCAGAATGTTCATCTAACCTTCTGTTTCCATATCTTGTCCTTTGGGGGCTTCCCCGATATCAATGGTGAACATCACTATCTTTGGAGTCATGGTAGACATCCTATTGCTAAAACAAAACTTGTATGTTCCATCCATGTGAGCAGCAAATGTGTATTTCCCACTGGACTCCCGGTCTCCTTTATAAATTCCTTTATTATCAGGTCCTGTAATCTGGAGGCAGAAGAGAAATTCATGAGATAACTCAAAAGATTCAAAATCATAAATGAGGAGGGAATAAATTGGGAGATTGGGATTGTTGCAGATATACTATTGATACTGTGTATAACATAGATAACCTAATGAGAACCTGTTGTACATAGAACTCTACTCAATACCCTGTGGTGACCTAAAAGGGAAGGTAATCCAAAAAAGGGGATACATGTATACCTACAGCTGATTCACTTTGCTTTACAGGAGAAACTAACACAACACTGTAAAGCAACTATACTTCATTAAAAAATAATTTTAAAAATAAAACCGTTAAGTGATGTCTACTGACAGTCAAACATTCGCTAGGAAAATGTAACCTGAACTTCGATCCACTTCAGTTAGTAACAATAATCTCTTTGGGCTACAGTTCTCCCATTTAAGAAACAAGGCTCTCTGAATACCTTTCAATTCGGACTACATTTGTCTTAATTTTCCAACTTAGTAAACCAATCAGAAACAGAAACCACACCATACACTTGTCTTCAAGTGGCCCAATACCACCAACAAGCAGACAATTATGTAGCTATTTGTATCAAAACAACAAAAAAGAAATCTCTTTTAAAACTAAGAACTTTGAGCAAGCCTACACATGGAAGTTTTCCTGACTGATTACTGCCTATTGGTAATGGAATCTGCTTTATCTTATATGCCTGAAGACTTAAGGAAAAAGACTAGACTGGAAATTCAGAGACCCATGTTCTCATCCCAGTGTGCTCCAAATCAGTTGTTAGACCTTGCTCAAGTAGTTCCTCTTATGAAACCCCGTGCCACCTGCACACTGAAAGAGCTGATCTCTTAAGAGCTTAGCTAATTTTAACAGTTATTACCTCCATTATCCCCTTATTTCTGAACTTCACTTGTTTTGTGTAATTTATGCCCAACTCTGCTGATGGTAACTGTTAGATGGAAAAACCCATAGACACAATTAATCATGCTAACCGGTAGCTTTAAATATTAATTCCATCGGGTTTCCTTAAAAAAGTTAGAGGCGAGTCATTCTTTTGGCTTAAAGAAAACGATATGGGACAAAATTTAGGGACTGCTGGTTTCTTAAAACGATTTTCCGTTTTCTCCAAAGATACTTCACTGCAATCACTTCTAAAACGCATGACCCAACTCCAGTCTTTTAGTCAGAGATGACTAAACGAGGTATCCGAAGGTCTGTGTAAGAATGGGTTAACTCAGGTCCTTTCTACGAAAAATAAAGGCAAACACAACGCGAACGTCTACCTAGCATTCCTCAACAGCTTCCGATTTACTTTTTCAGAAGTTTCCATGCCACGTCCCAACTTTAATTCGCGCTAGGAAGGGAAGCAGCTGCTGCCCGGATCGAGACCTGCCATCAGCTAAACAAGACCGTGTAGCGCCTCCTGGGCCCGGAGATGACACGCGGCGCCTGGTAGACAAAGCTCGGCGAGAGGTTCCAAGGGGAACCAGCCGTTCAAGCTGAGAATCCAAAGCAGCCAAGCAACGGTTCCGTCTCCCGAGCAGAGCTCGGAAAGCGGGCGGGTGCGAGGGAAAGGGCCGTTAGGGGGTCGCCAGGTGGCGGCCCGGGCCCCTCCCAGGACTCGGACAACGGCCTCCGGGTCCCGCTCTCCACGCTGGCCCCGCGCGGGCCCCGGGCGCCGCCAACCCTGTCACCATGGTGGGGCTGGGGCCGAAGCCAGGACCGGGACTGCGGCCTCCGGAGCCGCCGTCGTCGCTGCCGCCACCGCTGCCTTCTCAGCCGCCGCCGCCTCAGCTCCGCCCCTTCCGGCTGCGCCACCCGAGGGGGCTGATGCGGGCGCCGCGGATTGGCGAGCGCCTGTAGCTGCCACGTAACGGCCGCATGGCGGCCGCCGAGGGACAAGAATACTCCGCGCGTCTCGAGCCTGGACGGTGGCTCAGAAGGACCAGAAACTATCGTTTCCGTTACTAGTTCCATTCATGTACCACCTAAACTTTTATGGGCCATACCAGGAAGCGGTAGTATCAAGAAACCTCCTCTGCCTCGTGCAAGACGCTCTTAGGATTATCCATAAAGACAGCGGAAGATTTGGAGGCAGCAATAGTAGTGTAAGGAGGAGATGGGGCTGAAGCCAAGGGCTTTGAACTTTTATGTTAGCCTGCTCTCAGCTCAAAAAAAAAAAAAAAAACGACGGGGGAAAGACGGGGTGGGTATAGATTGGGAAGGGGCACGAGGGAACCTTCTGTGATGTTGGAAATGTTATGTCATATCGTCAGTAAATGATGGTTAGATATTGATGTCAGATGGTAAAGACCCTGCCCATAATGCGGGAGACTCAGCTTCGATCCCTAGGTCAGGAAGATCCTCTGGAGAAGAGAATGGCAAACCACTCCAGGAAGATGTTGGAAATGTTTTATCATATGGTCACTAAATGATGGGTACACGAGTGTTTACATATGCTTTTTTTAAAAGCTCAAGCTGTATACTTGAGTAGTGCTCCATATTTTTTGCTTTACTGTATGCCTATAATACAACCACACACACACAAAAAAAAAAAAACTTTACCTTGGCTACATCCTCCACAATTAGAAATCTCTCATCCCCCCAAAAGTCTTCCTGACACCCCACACCCCCTTAAATTTTGCCAGCTACTAAGACAATTTATTCCCCACCCTTTGCCTCCTGAGGTACTCCTACACATCCCTCAAAACCCAACTCAAATGTCAGCTCTAGACCTCCTCCTGCACAATACTAGCCCCTTCCTCTGTGCTTACAAGGCAGATTTGTGCCTACTGAGTCACAGTCATTTACCATGTGCAACTCCCCAGGCACTAGTTTTGGCATACATGTGCTTGAGTGCTGTACTTTCAGGCCCTACCGCAGGGCCACAAAAAAAAATCTCACCCATAACATGGTAATTGACATATCAAGTTCACTGAACTGGCCTGAGCATGAGGAGATCTGGGTTGTTACTCCAGCTTTGCACATAGCTGTGTGACCTTATTTATGTTCCATCACCTCTCTGAACCTTAATTTCCCTATCTGTAAAAAAAATATGACACCACACTCTTTGCTTATCTGGTAAAGTTATCATGAAAATCAGATGACACTATGTGCTGTGCACGTTTGGGGAATTATTTCTTCAAAGACTAGCAAGCAATAGGGGGCAGTAGTGGCCTAATATCCAGTCTCCTGGGCAGGTGTCAAGAAAGAGGTACAGTTAGGGTGATGATGGAAGTTTCCTGGCTATGACGATATGTTATTGAACTCAAGAGTTCTAATAATGGTCCCCTGATTCCACACCTTGCAAATTGGCAAGGGCCCTGCTTCCCTTGGCAGGTCAGTTCTGTAGTGTCATCCTGGCAGCCATCACTGGAGGGAGGCTCGGCCTAGAGCCTGCTCTTCCAGCTTCACCAATCCATTTGGAAGCCTCTATTTCCCTATAGTGGGCTTCCCTGGTGTCTCAGTGGTAAAGAATCTGCCTACCAATGCAGGAGACGCTGGTTCAGTTCCTGGGTCAGGAAGATCCCCTGGAGCAGAAAATGGCTTACCCACTCCAGTATTCCTGCCTGGGAAACTCCATGGACAGAGAAGCCTGGCATGCTGCAGTCCAAGGGGTCACAAAAGAGTCAGACACAACAACTTAGTGACAACAACAACAACAACAATTTCCCTATAGTAAATCTCTTCTTGCTTACAATACCATCAGAGGTTTCCTGTTAAACTGAATTAAACTGGTGAATATCATCTTTTTGACTTCCCAAGCAACCCAGCTCTGTAGAAAAGGGACAAGAACAATTCTGTTTTTATCTAGACATTAAATATTAATATTCATTTTCAAACTGATTCAATAACATTCTAACCCCACTTGTCAGGGTTTTAAAATGTGGATATTTATATCACTGGACCACAGTGAATTGTATATTATGGGAGTTTTATTATGTAAGTCAAGGGACTCACTTTAGGGATCAGGCAGTTTATATGAGAGATGGCACCAGCTTAAGGCAATAAGAAGTAGGAAGGACTGTGGCAAACAGGAGCATAGATTCTGTATCTGAACACATTCAGGGGACTTCTCTGGTGGCCCAGTGGCTAAGACTCCGTGCTCTCTATGTACAGGGCATAGGTTCAAGTCCTGGTCAGAGAATTAGATCCCACATGCCGCAACTGAGAATCCTACATGACACAACTAAGACTCCGTGTAGCAAATAAAATAAATACATTCAACTCCAATTTTTGAAAACATGGTGGTAGGCCAAGCCAAAGACGACACCAGAAGCCATCTATAAATTTTTATATTATAAAAGTTACAGTGCTATCTAAAAATTGGAAAAGAGACAAAAGTAACTCTAATCACAATATTATAAAATCTGTCAACTACTTGGTATGGTTTCTTCTTTGCCCAGGTTTTTCTTTTTGGCATCCTTGTCATAGTTACTTGAGCTTCCCAAGTGGCCCTAGCCATGAAGAACCTGCCTGCCAATGAACCCGCCTGCCAATGCAGGAGATGTAAGAGACGAAAGTTTGATCCCTGGGTCAGGAAGATCTCCTGGAGGAGGGCATGGCAACCCACTCCAGTATTCTTGTTTAGAGATTCCCATGGACAGAGGAGCCTGGCAGGCTCCATGAGGTCGCAAAGAGTTAGACAAAACTACAGCAACTTAGCACCCATGCACACATGCATAATTAGTCATCAGGTATCTTTCAATAATATTTCAGGATTAGAAAACAAAATAATTCAAAGAACTACAAGTTCTCAGGACTTCTCACCCACAGAGTTGTTCAACCATCACCACTGTCTAGTTTCAAAACACTTTATCACCCCTAAAAGAAATCCTGACCCATTAGCAGTCATATCCCATTCCCCATTCCCCCTGACCGTATTTTGTTTAGCCATTCACTTTCATGGACTTTGGGTTGTTTCTACTTTGGGGTTATTATTAGGAACATTGCTATGAACATTTCCGTACACATTCTTGATGGATATAGATTTTCCAATTCTCTTGGAGAGGACAAGATAAATTATTTTTTCTGGGAATCAGAAGCCTGTTGTGGCAGAAACCTGGAAACTAGGTTAGACACTGATGAGGCATTTGCATCAGTTGCATAGTCAGTTCTCAGATGCTGACAGGTTTTAAAGGGAATAACAAAGGCTGCTTCCCCAGAAAGGCTAGATCAGCTTTCTGCTGTTTGGGTATTAACATTCCCCTTCACTTCTGGTCCCATGAAGTTCTCTTTTAAAAAGTAGAGAAGAAAATAAATAAATAAATAAAAAGTAGAGAAGAGTAAAGGAGACGAGAATTTTCTTTCATTTTTGTTTTCTTTTTTCATTTTCAGTTTTTAAATGTTACTTTATGAAGAACAATATTGATATAAAAATGAAAATTCAAGACAAGTTTAACCATAATGTCACCACCTAATCAAATAAGCCGTCCTGGGACATTCTAGGACCTTCATCTCATATCCATCCTGGCCCTCTCTGTTCACCTCTGTATCACAAGGAAATCTGTTTCCCAGGCTCCCTTTCACTCTGCTTCCTGGTAAGTTCAGCCAGTTGCAGGCACTAGCAAAAGATTGGAGGGCCGAGGAAGGAAGAAGCCAGAGCATTTGTCTCCCTTGCTGCTTTGGGAAGCATCTCTGCCAAAGATGCTTCATGTTCCAGGCTCCAGATCCTCTGAAAGTCCAGTTCTACTGGATGGTCCTGGTTCCTGGGCTCTGATAGTCCTACTTCCTCCCTTCCTTTCTGTAGTCCTAAGTGGATTAATATCTTTCTGCTGTTGATAACCTATGCCTTTGTCTCACAATCTTGTTTGGCTCCTCAGCTCTATCATTGCCTGTTGTGATGTTTTCAAAATAAATTCAGGACTTCTGTGATCTTCCTATCTTTAAAAGGTGCAATCTAGGGAATTCCCTGGTGGTCCAGTGGTTGGGGCTCCATGCTTCCACTGCAGGGGGCATGGGTTTGATTCCCATATGCTACAGCAGCCAAAAAATAAAAGAAAAATTAGGAGCCTAATCGCCCTCCCCTGGAATGAGAGGCAGAACTTAGTGACTGACCTCTAAGAGAATGTGGCAGAGATGACTGTCTCTGACTTCTGAAGCTAAGTCATAAAAGGAATTGTTGCTTCAGGGTTCTCTTGACACTCCTCTGAGGGAAGCCAGCTACCATGCCATAAGGACACTCAAGCAGCTCCGGGAGACAGTCCCACAGGGAGAGAAACTCAGGCGTCTTGTTGACAGCCACATGAGGGCGCCATCTCGGAAGTGGCTCCTCCAGCCCCAGTCAAGCCTTCAGATAATGATGCAGCCCTTGCTGATATCCTGAATGCAGTCTCCTGAGAGATTCCGTATCAGGACTGCTCAGCCAAACTGCTCCAGAATTCCAGATCTGCAAAAAGTATGAAAGATAATGATTATTGTTGTTTTAAGCCACTTAGTTTTGGGACAACCTGTTACACATCAGTGGATAACTTAGGCACCTGAGCTTCTAGAAGGGAAGTATTACTTTTACCACAAGCAAATAATAGGGAAAGTCCAATCTACCCAAAAGTTCACTGATGGATAAATGAATAAAGAAAACGTGGCCTATCCCTATGAGAGACTATTATCCAGCCATTAAAAGGAATAGAGTACTGATTCAAGCTACAACAAAGTGGACCTTGAAGACATTAAACTAAGTCAAAGAAGTCAGTCACAAAAGGGTTATGCATTGTATGGTTCTACTTAAATAAAATGTCCAAAACAGGCAAGTCCATAAAGACAGAGTAATTAGTGGTTTCCTCAGGCTGTAGTAGGAGTAAGGAGGAAATGGGGAGTGACTGCTAATGGGGCTTGGTTTTTTCTTTTCTTTTCTTTTTTTTTTTGAGTATAGTTGATTTACCTTGTGTAGTTTCTTCTGTACAGCAAAGTGAACCAGTTACACATATATCTGCTCTTTTTTAGATTCTTTTCTCATGTAAGTCTACAGAGGACTAAGGAGAGTTCCTTGTGCTTTCCAGTAGGTCCTTATTAGTTGCCTATTTTTTTTTTTGGAAGCACCCCACAGCATGTGGGATCTTAGTTCCCCATCCAGAGATTGAACCTGTGCCCCCAGAATTGGAAGCATGGAGTCTTAACCATTGGACTGCCAGGCAAATCCCCCTAGTTATCTCTTTTATATATAGTAGTGTGTATATGACCAGTCAATCCCAAAGGAAATCAACCCTGAATATTCACTAGAAAGATAGATGCTGAAGCTGAAGCTCCAATACTTTGGCCACCCATGCAAAGAGCCAACTCATTGGAAAAGACCCTGATGCTGGGAAAGATTGAAGGCAAACGGAGAAGAGGGCAGCAGAGGGTGAGATAGTTAGATGGCATCATTGACTCAATGGACATGAATCTGAGCAAATTCGGGGAGATAATGGAGGACAGAGGAGCCTGGCATGCTGCAGTCCATGGGGTCACACAGAGTCAGGACTTAGCGACTAAACAACAATGAGCGTGTATATGTCAATCCCAATCTCTCAGTTTATCCCTCACCCACTCCTTTCTCGCCTGGCAGGGGCTTCTGTTTGGAGCAATGAAAATATTCTGGGAATTCCCTGGCAGTCCAGTGATGAGGACTCAGCGCTTTCTCTGCCCGAGCCCAGATTAGATTTCTGGTTGGAGAACTTAAGATACTGTAAGCCATGATGTACAGCCAAAAAAAAAAAAAATGAGGCTTGGGACTAGATAGTAGTGATGGGTGCAGATATCTGTGAACAACTTAAGATACTGTAAGCCATGATGTACAGCCAAAAAAAAAAAAAAAAATGTACAGCCAAAAAAAAAAAAAAAAGAGGCTTGGGACTAGATAGTAGTGATGGGTGCAGATATCTGTGAACATACTAAAGTCACTGAACGGTACCTTTTAAATGTGTGGACTTTATGGCATATGAACTATATCTCAATAAGCTATTTAAAACAAACAAGGGGGACATCCCCGGTGGACCAGGGCTGATAGTCTGTGCTCCTAATGCAGGGGGCCCAGATTCGATCCCTGGTCAGGGAACTAGATCCTACACGCCACAACTACGACTTCACATACCTCAACGAAGACTGAAGAGCTTGCATACCATGAGTAAGATCCAGTGCAGCCAAATAAAAATAAATATTAAAAATATGTTTAAAACAAGGAAGAATTTTCAGCTGCCCAAGGTGTGGTCCAGAAACTGCCAGGTTCAGGTACAAAGGACAGTCAGGAGAGGTGGTGCCTTTGAGGTTAGGTCAGGTTCCATAGTCGGTCAGGGTCGAGTTTTGTTTTTCCCTAAATCCTACTTCTGGGGCTTCCCAGGTGGCGCTAGTGGTAAAGAATCTGCCTGCCAATGCAGGAGATGCAAGAGAGGTGGGTTCATTCCCTGGGTCAGGAAGATTCCCTGGAGAAGGAAATGGCAACCCACTCCAGTATTCTTGCCTGGGAAATTCCATGGACAGAGGAGCCTGGCAGGCTGCAGTCCATGGGGTTGCAAAGAGTTGGATATGACAGAGCAACTGAGTGACTGAGCGCAGCTAACTACTTCCATCTTGAAGATCAAACAGCCTTCACGGCTTTGACAAAGAGGAAGCAGTGCTGGACATTCACCTGCTGACCTGGCATCAGCTGGCCTTGCTGCTCTCCCACGGAGACAACAATTTCACAGAACAGCACCATCAGCCGAGGCCACTCTGGGACAATGATGGAACAAGACAAAACATGAATGTGGTCCAAGCCACAGAATGCCAGATCCAGTCCTCTCCTGGCGAATATGAGTGACAGCTGCTTCTGCACCAATTATAGCCTCAGCTTCTCACCAGTCTGTCCCCCATATAGATGAGATTTATTAACAGCCTCGATCCTAGAATCATCCCTGCTTCCTGCTAGCACCCACTCTAGAGCAAATTCCCAGATCTTTAAACTCTCCCCAGAACCACCCAACCAAAGCACCAATTCACAACCACCACCACCCCTGCCGGGCCACAGCCCCCAGAACACCAACACAGCCTGAGGCTATCTGGCTGCAGTGGGTGAGCTGCGGCCTTACTGCCACATTTATATGCAGGAACAGAGGTGCTGGGCAGACAAGGATGTAACATATTTTGGCCACTCACTTCCCAGAAAAATGAAAACCAAAAATCAACTTACGCAGCAAGGTTGTTTAAAATAGCCTAAAGCAGGAAATGGCATGAATGTCTATCAAGGGAAGAAATAATCAGGTAAATTACAGTACATTCATAAAACAGAAAACCATACAATCATTTGAAAGAATGAGGCAGGGATTATCTATTAAAAAGATAAAAGAACAAGATATATGTATATATGCTGGAGCTGGAAAGCTGATTACAGGGTAACATGAAGTGAAAAAAGTAAATTGTATATTAACATGTTTGTCACGCTTCCATAAAAAATAAATGTGTGTTTTATATAGTATGTTCTCAGGAGAAAAATCAGAAAGAGCATGAGTCAAACTGTCAACAGTAGTTACCTGGGAGTGGAAATGGGATAGAAAGAATCCTACTAAATACATAATTTTGTAAGTGGTGGGATTGTGGGTGTGGAAAAGCCAGGTCCGTGCATCCCACCAGTACCCTCCCTACCACCCCCCAGATACTTGGTTTTGCGGCATGAACAGCATCAGTGGCAGAGCCCTGTGCAGCGCCAGGGGCACCACAGTGCCCATTGGATTAAGCAACCAGCTGAGCATTCTTGCAAAGCTGGACCAACTTCGGCAATATTCCACTTTAAACTTGGTCTCCCTCCTTTTCAGCCTCACTTTCCTTCTTCCCTGACTCTTGCTTCCCTGGTATTATATTATACCCTCCAACAAAGCACTAACTCATATTCTTTTTAAGGAGCCCATACAAAGGCAATGGGTGATTTTTTTTCTTCATTTTATTTATTTATTTTTAATTATTTTTTTATTTTTTATTAGTTGGTGGCTAATTACTTTACAATATTGTAGTGGTTTTTGNCTGGTTTCCTCGGTGTGTATGCCCAGAAGTGGGATTGCTGGGTCATATGGCAGTTCTATTTCCAGTTTTTTAAGAAACTGTTTTCCATAGCGGCTGTACTAGTTTGCATAAAAATATGGAACGCTTCACGAATTTGCGTATCATCTTTGTTCAGGGGCCATGCTAATCTTCTCTGTATCATTCCAATTTTAGTATATGTGCTGCCGAAGCGAGCACTTTTTCTTCATTTTAAATAGCTTTCTTCAACATTTTCTTTAAGAGCCCAACCACTTGGGACTTCCTTGGCCATCCAGTGGTTGAGACTTTGTCTTTCAATGCAGGGGGTGTGGGTTTGATCCCTAGTGGGGTAGCTAAGAACCCACATGCCAAAAAAAACAAGAACAAAAACATAAAAACAGAAGCAATGTTGTAACAAACATAATAAAGATTTAAAAATGCTTCACATCCAAAAAATCTTAAAAAAAAGTGGATGAGGACTCTCAAAGCAGAGAAGTACTACCAAAGGAATGTAACTGTAATGGAAAATCTACACAGAGCCAGTATTTATAAGTAACTTCTCTTCAGATGAAACAGATATTGAAATTCAGAGAGCATGCCCAATGAACTTCAAGCAATTGTGTTGCTAAGTTTTGATCTTCCTGTTTTTCAAGATGGGTTAGGGGATGCCATCATCTTTCATATAATGTTTTTGACTTAGTGAGGGTGACCATTAAGTAGAACAGGCTGAGTCTCCTGTGACATTTCTGGAGGGGACTTCCCTGATGGTCTAGCGGCTAAGATTCTGCTCTCCCAATGCAGGGGCCCGGGGTTCAATCCCTGGTCAGGGAACTAGATCCCACATGATGCAACTAAAAAACAAAACAAAACAAAACAAAACTGCATGCCGAAAGGAAGATCAAAGATCCCACGTGCTGCAACTAAAGCCCAGTGCAGCCAAATAAGTAAAATAAATATTTTTTAAAATATTAATAAAAAAAGATGCAATGATGACATCAGAACTCTTCTCAAGTCGATCAAATTAAAGAAGGATGAGAAGGAAAAGGAGAAGGAAGAAGAGGAGGAGGACAGGGTGAGAAAGAGGAATGAGAATCCAGATTAGCATCTTTGTAAAGTCAAGGCTGTCATGGGTAGAAGAGTGGATCTGAGGCTATTTCAGGGTGTCAGCTTTTGGAACTGAGCCCAGGAGACAGGGCAAGTAAAGCAGAAGACTACTCGGACTCCTGAAGAAAAGTCTTTGTAAAATGGTCTGTTTAAGTCAGTGCGAGCTGCTATAACAAAAAGACCCATGGACACTCAGAGATCAGCTAACGCTATGGTGATGGTCATATGGCAACACATAAAGGTATCAGATCAACACATTGTATACCTTAATCTTACTTTAAGTTCTGCTTTATTGATTATGCCAAAGTCTTTGATTGTGTAGGTCACAACAAACTGTGGAAAATTCTTCAAGAGATGGGCATACCAAACCACTTGGTTGCCTCCTGAGAAATCTGTATGTAGGTCAAGAAGCAACAGTTAGAACTGGACATGGAATAACAGACTGGTTCCAAATTGGGAGAGGAGTATGTCAAGGCTGGATATTGCTTATTTAACTTATATGCAGAGTACATCATGCAAAATGCCAGAATGGGTGAAGCACAAGTTGGACTCAAGATTGCTGGCCAAAATATCAATAACCTCAGATAACACAGATGATACCACCCTTATGGCAGAAAGTGAAGAGGAACTAAAGAGTCTCTTGATGAAAGTGAAAGAGGAAGAGTGAGAAAGTTGGCTTAAAACTCAACATTCAGAAAACGAAGATCATGGCATCCAGTCCCATCACTTCATGGCAAACAGATGGGGAAACAATGAAAACAGTGACAGACTATTTTCTTGGGCTCCAAAATCACTGCAGATGGTGACTGCAGCCATGAAANTAGATGGGGAGACAGTGGAAACAGTGTCAGATTTTGTTTTTTTGGGCTCCAAAATCACTGCAGATGGTGACTGCAGCCATGAAATTAAAAGACGCTTACTCCTTGGAAGGAAAGTTATGACCAACCTAGACAGCATATTAAAAAGCAGAGACATTACTTTGCCAACAAAGGTCTGTCTTGTCAAAGCTATGTTTTTTTCAGTAGTCATGTATGGATGTGAGAGTTGGACTACAAAGAAAGCTGAGCACTTTTCAACTGTGGTGTTAGAGAAGCCTCTTGAATCCTTTGGACTGCAAGGAGATCAAACCAGTCAATTCCAAAGGAAATCAGTCCTGAATATTCATTGGAAGAACTGATGCTGAAGCTGAAACTCCAATATTGGCCACCTGATGCAAAGAACTGACTCCTTGGAAAAGACCCTGATGCTGGGAAAGATTAAGGGCAGGAGGAGAAGGGGACGACAGAGGATAAGATAGTTGGATGGCAATGCTCGCTTCGGCAGCACATATACTAAAATTGGAATACAGAGAAGATTAGCATGGCCCCTGTGCAAGGATGACATGCAAATTCGTGAAGCGTTCCATATTTTTAGCTGTTAAAAAAAAAAAAAGATAGTTGGATGGCATCAGTGACTCGATGGACATGAGTTTGAGCTTTGAGCAAGCTCTGGGAGTTGGTGATGGACAGGGAAGCCTGAAATGCTGCAGTCCATGGGGTCGCAGAGTCAGGCAGGACAGCAACTGAACTGATACCTTAAACTTATACAATGTTGTATGTTAAAGTGTTAGTCGCTCAGTCATGTCTGACTCTCTGTGACCCCATGGACTATAGCCCACCAGGCTCCTCTGTCCATGGATTATCCAGGCAAGAATACAGGAGTGGGTTGCCATTTCCCTCT